ATATATATATAATCAAAATGGATTTGCCACATCAACTAATGTAGTCAAAATAATCCCACGAAAGGCCCATCACCTGGGTGATTCTAGATCCGACAAGCTGAGAATTAACATTAACTATCACAGCCTTATTACGTCCATTAGTTCTGACATACTGAAACAACCTTGCTTCTTTGAACTGAAAGAAATTGGATAATAGTTTAATATTTAGTTTTTAAAATATGTTCTTGAAATTGGTTAGCCAGAGTTTTGTATGGGGTATTTCTGTTATGTTGGTCAAGCACATTGGGTTAGACTGATTTGTTTGCTGTTACTTTAAAATGTTTTTTTTTTTTGTGGGAACTTCACATATAAGCACTGTATATACATAACTTCTTTCGTCCACTTTCTCCAAAATTCATAAACATCTCCTCTTCTCAATGAATATATGAATATACAACTTACTGAGTCTACTTAGCATTGATGCTATGAACCTGTGTCTATGGCTGACCACTTGAGAGTGAACAACATATGCAGGATCTCCACATTGGAGGATAGCTATTCTCCCTCAGCAGCCATGTCTCCAATCTGTGTTACCATGACAATATGTGGTACAATTGTCGAGATCTTGTTCTGGAATTCATATGGGTGAGATTTTGTGACTGGCATTCTTCTATCATCTCTAGAGCAAGAAATGTTTATTTCTTCTGGTTCTTACAGTCTTCTTTCCACTTTCTGTGATTATTGCATGAACCTTATATTTAACGAGGTGTTCTATTTAAAAATGTATCAATTAGGTTTAGGCACCTGATGGTTTGTTCTCTACATTTCCGTCAGTTTTGGGTCTCTGTAATAATCTCATGATCTTTTGCAGCAATTTTCAGCTTTGATCAGGGATGATACTATATTTCTCAATGAATATGAAGATAATCATTTAGAATACAATTATTTTATGTTAGAAGAATAATGGTAGTTCTATGTTCTGATCTAGGGTCTATGATCTCTAGAACCATGAGAGGTTGACTAGGGTACAGAACTTGCCTCCCGTGAACTGTATCTTATGGCCAATTAGATAGCCATAATTAACCAGTTACGATGCTTAATCCCAATATAATATTGTCAGTATTAGATTGTTGTGCATAACTTCCTGAACCAATTGTTATTGTGGTTTATCAGCTATTGTGGTTTATTGTGGCTATGGAGTTGGATAGCCCAACTGATTATTTTTCCTCACATGGCAGCTTGCATATCACTTTCTTATACAATGAGAAAGGCAGAATCCTCAGAGAGGCTACCAGGATTAGTTCCAGATTAAGCGCATCAAGTTCTGTGTACCAACAACCTGACGTCTTCAGAAATATGAGATCTTTTCCATATCTAAATCTCATCCATGCAATGAGAAAAGCCTACATTTTTTTTTTGGAGATAACTCTATTGGTCCAAACAAGAGACCAAAGGAAGTTTTTCCATGACTGACACTGACATTATCCTTAGACACTTGTTGGCTCTTGTTAGGAGCACCATAACTTCATGTAATATAACTTTATTAAATATATATGCACATACATACTGTTTATATTTTATATGTATCATTTTCTACACTGTGTGGTGACTTGCATAATAGTTTTCTCCATAGTCTCTAGCTTCCAAACTCTTGGTTTCCATTTGGGTGTACTGACTAGGAAGGCCTAGGTGGTGTGTTTTGAAGTCACTCCATTTTCCCATTATCTATTTTCTAGACGTTTTATATTTTATTACCCACTCCAGCACTCATTTTTTGTTGTTTCCATAGTCTCTGTCACAAATAAATGAACAAAATGCCCCCCAACCCAAAACAAACAAAGAAAAAACCCAAACAAAACCAAATTCAGAATCCAGAACCTAGTCCTTTGTTTATCACAAGACTTGTGCTCTAGATGCCATTACAAAAATAAAATTAACAAAGGCTAATGTGATCAGTCAGAATTAGCTACCATTAAATCCCAGCTATACAAGTATGGCAAGCTCTTAGTTTTTTCAGACAGTTGAAATACAAGACAAAGACCACAAAACCTACTTATGAAGATGATGGAACTACTTAAATATAAAATAAATAAACCCCTTAAAGTATCGAGGAAAAGAGAAACAAAATTAGAGATGCCAGTACAAACTACTATACCCAGCAAAACTTTCAAGTATCATAAACAGAAAAGACAATATATTTCAGGATACAGTCAAATTTAAACAATGTTTATGCATTCATTCAGTCATACAGAAAGTACAAGATGGAAAATTCCACTACTAAATCTTAAATCACCCATTAAAACACATACATTGACAGTTGGAGGCTTCAGTATTCCACTTTCACCAATAGACAGGATATCCAGACAAGAACAATAGAGATAAGGACTGGAGCTAGCAAATATTATGAACAAAATGGACCTAACAAATATTAACAGAACATTTTACGTGAATAACAACAAAATATCTTCTTTTTCAGGACCACATGGAAGATTCTTCAAATTTGACCACATACTTGGTTGCAAAGCAAGGATCAACAGGTACAAGAAAATACAGGTAATCCCCTGTATCTTATATGTCCACTACAGATTAAAGCAGTATTTCAACAACAGAGACAACAGAAAGCCTAGAAACTGTTAGAAACTTAACAACGTTCTACTGAGTGACTACTGGGTCAAGGCAGAAATGAATAATGATTCCTAGAATGCAATGAAAATAATCCACACTATATCCAAAATCATGGGGCACAACAAAAGTTGTGTTAAGATTAAAATTCATAGCCCTAACTGCCTTCATAAAGAAATTGGAGTAAATTGCAGTGAAAAGCAGAATACGAAAAGCTAGGTTAATACACAAGCATTGCTTAATACAGCTACAATGGAAAAAAGCAAACTGTGACCAGAGTGCTAGACCAAAAGAGTGGACAAGTGGGGAATTCTCTCCACAGATTTTGCTTTAAAGGAGGAAAAACAAAATCCACTGGAGAAAAATACAGCAAAATTATATAGTGGATAACTGACCCACCAAGCACGCGCTGCGAAATTATTCAAAGGTGCTATCCCACGTCACTCAGTTAAATATTCTGAGATAGAAGCACAACACAAAAGATACTCTGCAGTCAAAAATCACTACTAGGAACACTAACCAATGAAGCAGTGCAACACCAAGCCTCAAACATTACAAGCTCCGCCCTCTAACCAATAAAGCAGAAAACTCTCAAAAGCACAGAGAAGGGCACAGGAGCCTGCAACAGGAACAACCTAATATCAAAGCCTATCAAAAAGGTAGGTATTTCCTGAACTTAAAGTGTGTTTTATTAAATGAGCTGCCTTCTCTGGCCTCAGTGAGAGAGGAAATGTTTAGCATCCCAGAGACTTGATGAGCCATGGTGGAGGAAAGGGGTTACCCAGGGAGGCCCCTAACAGCCCAGAGAAGAAGGGGAGAGGGAAGCAGGGAAGGGCTGTGAGAGAGGGATACCAGGAGGGGCACTTGAGCCAGATGTATAATGAATAAGTTTAACAAAAAAGATATTTAAGCCAAAGCTGTTGATTGTGAGAACAAGTTCCATGGAAAGATGACAGTATTTACAACTTTAAGATTACAGTGACTAGTGACACATCAGAGAAATTGAAGGACTCACAGGCAAAGTTGAATAAACAAAAATGGTCAAGTGAAGTTATTTAGAGGAACACAGGAGCCTGATGACTGGATTATTCAAATCAAATGCATTTCTTCATCTGCCTATGATTAAAACAGCGAGGCCACTTTTTGCCTAAATTTAGACTCTACGTGTCATGTGGATAAAAAGTGTTGTTTCCAATTTGAACTTTACTGACCCACCATGAATAAGAATAAAGAGTAGCACTCAGGAAGTTATTGGCAGTGAATTCAGGGTGATGCAGTCAGACCTGGGTGTTTTCTAGATCCTGGGCAGTGATTGGTGACTATGAAGGAAGACAAGGAAATAAGACCTTGCAGTTCCCTGTGGGTATGTTTGTTTTATCTCAAATTTTGGTCATAAATGGCAATGAAAAAGCAGTCAGTAAATTGAAGGAGAGAATTACAGAGCACCTGGGAGGACTTGAAGGAAGAAAAGGGAAGGGAATGATATAAACTATGTAAAGTATAGTAGGTTGATGCTGATAATGGCCCTCCATTATCATTGTAAAAATTTTGAGAATATTTAAAAGTTTTTTTTGAGAACTTCTAATGTATATAGAGAGTACAAAATGAAATAATACACCTTTAATATCCAAAGTATGTCATTTATGTGTTCAAAAGATAGGAGAATGTGTCATTAAGTGGCCTTTAGCAGCATCTAAAGGATGGAGGACATTGTGACTAATTGAGAAGGGATATTATGTGCATTAAGTATTGGTGTTTAAACCAGACTGAGAAAGGAAATGACACATCTAACTAAAGATGGAGTTTAAATAGACGAGATATGCAATTCACTGTGTTTGTATTTTCTTATTGAAGAGGAAAAGTGAAAACAAACTCAAGTGGAAGGGAAAATATTGGTTGACCTTGAAATTGCTCTTCATAAAATGCCTAACTCCTAAGGTTTGTTTTATATCTGTATAATCACAACACTGGAACCCAGATTTTTATCCAGCACAGATATAAACTGAGAACAGGCTATAGCAAAACAAGAGATGGTACACAGCAAAATACAAACCAACCAACAAACAAAAAAAGAACTGAATGTTTTTCCCCCACATTTCCTTCTGAGGATAAGGAAATGGACTTCCTTAGTCCATTTTTTCCATTCTTAGAAAGAAACTAGGAATTTTCTATCCTTTGCAGGTCCGTCAGTGATAGCAGTCAGGTCCTTTAGCTTATTAATTAGAGACAAGGTAGGCAAAATGAAATTACATCAACCTCACATATCAACTCCACATGTTTTATTAAATAATTTATTAACCAGAGTTGCTTTGGTATATATTCTATCAATGTGTTTCTTACTTCTGAGTCCTATACATGTCTTAATTTAATCAAGACTTTTTCTTTGCTTAGTGTCAGCTATGGCTCCTTTACGAGTGACGTTATTTCTCATAACTCTGCTGCTGCCATCAATACACACTGAAGAAAGTGTGAGTGTTACATAACTATTTATCTCAAAACTACCTATTTTAAAAATAGTACGTTACATAAGAATACAGAAATCCGTATAATATACTGGGTTACAGTATTCTCATTTGGTCTTGGAGCATATAACAGGGCTACAGAGATACAGAAAAAGATTTCACTCTAGCATTTATAGCTATAATACCCACGAATGCCATGAGGGAAGTGGAGACTTGACGAGTCAGATTTGCTACAAGTATATGACACTTACTAGGCATCAAATTAACACATTATGGGGCTTGAGAGACATGTCAGTGAGTAAAGAATTAAGAGTTGAATTCATCTATTGAGCTTATCTTCAGTTTCAATTATTCTACTTTGAAATGTAAAAGAGTAGAAGAATCCAGCATTCAAAGAAGGACCCATCCTAAAATAAAATAGAATATAAGGACCAACAGCCAAAATGTTCTGGTAATCACTAAAGCATGTGAAGTGTGCCTAATTCTCAAGAGATGTATGACCATTTCTTCTGCTGTACCATACACCTGGTTCCTAATCAAATGTGATGACATGTTATTCACTCATACTAAACTCTTTTTCATGATCCTTTTAGCTTCTAGTTATTGGTTTGATCATGTATTTACTTTTATTTTTCTTTGATTGTTTGGGAATCTCATATCATGACGCCCATCATGCTCACCTCTCAGAATTCCCATGGTTGCCCGTTTCCCCATGATCTCCCCATCAATGCTCCCCTCAAAGAAAAAAATTCCACTTTATATGGTCCATATATTCAATGGAGAATGGTCAAACTCCTACTCACCCAGCACTAAAGGACAGATGAATCTCTGCCTCCATCTAAGCTAGAAGCCATCAGAGGTAGCATAGGGGCATGGAGCCAGCTTTCTGTCTCTTATGCAACAGCCTATACCTCTGTGCTGTGGGCTGCTGCATAGTGATCCAGCTCTCCTATAAATATTATGGCTTCAGATAACAGTCTTGATAGTGGCCAGCCATTCACATGGACTTCGGTGGAAACACACACTGCAGACATCAATAGTAGTTGCTCAATTCCACAGGGCTAGTTGTTTCAGCTGGTCTTCTGTATAAGCTGAAATCCTGAAGAAGTAGGTTCCAACATATGCTCATAAGTAAGTGTAAGCAGGCAGCCTAGAGTGAGTCTTCCTTCTTCCAATGTCCTTCTATAGTTTTCCAGCAGAAGGTTTGGCCCAGATTAATGGTGTGTACTTAAAAGATTAAATGGTTTGGAATTTGCTTTGTCCCAGTCGGACCTTGAATTTAGAGATCTGCCTGCTTCAAGTACTACCTTGCCTGTCCCTAAGACATTCATGGCCATTGTGTTTCAAGACCCCCATGTCAAGATCCAGGTCAGAAACCTGTGTTTTCCATTCTCAAGATCTAGATGATAGGCGTGCCTTCCATGTCTGGATTGTTGTTCATTACAGATATAGTCAGGCTGACAACCAGGTAGAGCAATCAAAAGGGGCATCATGGCCTACAGTGGTTCTTTTAAGTTGTCCAGTCTAGAATCTGAACCTTTCCTCATATCATAGAGCCAGGAGAAATCCTGCAGCTGAGCAGTAGGTACTGGAGCTGAGTCTGTGTCTGCATGAGCTCCAGGCTGTTGTACTCCATTTTGCCAATCCTCCCAGGCAATGACAACATGGACATCACAGTCTTCTCTCTTCTCTCCTCTTAACGCCCTCATGTCTCTAGTTAGACCTTTACCCATAGCTCACATACTGCTGTTTTTCTGACTTTCCTATGTCTCCATCACAGGTTTCTTTTTTACACTGGAGCTGTGCTGGCTTCCAGCCCACACTCAACAGGAACCATTAACATGATATTTTTATTTATTATAGTTAATGTTTTAAAATGTTTTCACTCCTAATTAAAGCTCCATTAATTCCTCTTGTAGACACCATCTCTTTAGAAGAATTTTCAATACAAATCAAGATAGCATATGAATAAAAAATACTATTACAATTTTTATCAGAAAATCGCATTTTGGGCTTTTAAATTAATTGTCTTTATATTTCATGTTAGTTAAATTGTATATAGGGAATTGAATGTGTATGATAACATTCCCTTAGACAAATCGCAGTGGTTCTGCACTACAAATGTCTTGAATGTGCATTCTTTCTATAAGGAATTGATAAGTGTTTTAGGTCTATTTGTTCAAGCACACACAAATGGCCCTTGTTACGGCGAACATATCGGAAGGTAGACATAGACATATTTCCATTTAGTATGGTGATGTCTCTGAGCACAGAAATAGACATAATTTTTTAAAAAAACTTAATCCTAAAACATGATGGAGGAAATAACAATAAATCATCTTGAAAATCAGAGAAAATATATAATGATACTGTGATTGTTTACATGGGCTTAAAGTATTACTCTTTCCCATAAAGCACCACACTACTGCGGAAATTCAAACTTCCTTAGATCTTGTTCAAACATTCATAAGCATTGTCCTATCCTACACCTGGTATCCACATACACGTATCTACAAGACAATGCATCAAGTTGAAATAACTCATCAGTTGAACTTCAACCACTAAACTGAACAAGTGAGAGTTACATTACTAGATCGATGTAATCTCCCCAAATAAAAATATATGTTTTTGCTAGGATCAGAAAGTTGTGTGTTAAATAGCCCTGGAGAATTGTTCTAAAAATCAAAATTAGTGCTTATAGAGTATTGAGTATTATTCTTGTTCTTGCATTAGCGTAACCCATACTAACTTCAGTGACATGCAGGGAAGTACTCACTGTAAAGTCTAGAGTAAATATGAGCTCACAGCCTCTTCTCATCTTACTGCATCTTGTGTAAATACAAATGGATAAGTCTTAGGTTTCTTATTAAACACTTGTTATAAATAATTCCCCTCTTTCAGGTACTGACAGAGACTCAAAAAGACTCTACCACATCTTCTAATCGTAAGACAAATCACAAGGCTGTCTTGGATAAGACTGACCACCAAGGTGATGGAAATATACAGGACCCTGAGAAGGTATTCTCTGCCTCAAAGCAAGATAAAACATTATTTGAAGACTTTGCCAATGGTAACCAACATGAGTTAAACCCATCTAAAAACAAGATGTCCCGGAGCAACTATTGTACTCAAAAGAGTACAGTAAACTTCAATCACATTGACAATAGGCTTCAAGGGACCAGAGTTAGGCACCAAAGAGACAATTTTAAATACAAAGGCATCCTTGATCTAGATGAAATTTTGTATTTAGCGATAAAGAGATTGGCTTCCCTAAGAATTTAACTACAAGTTTCCTGGTATCTTACATGTTATGGCTCTTAGAAGCCTCCCCTTTTAAGTCCTATTACCTTTTTTTTAACCACCAAAACAAAGGAGCTTAGAAAGTGTAAATAAATAAAACAAACACTTTCCTACCTCCTGTTAAATAATAAAATTGGCCAGAAGCATCATAAAAGAGGTTTTGAATTAGCTGTAAAAGGAGCATACAGATAGGATTAGCATCACTTTAGAAATAAGAGCTTAACCTTCCTCTCTTTAAATGCACATGTTATTTCATGGCAAGACTTCTAGTAAAGTCAAGATGGGCTCCTCACTCTTCCTCACTGTAGTCTGATCATATGGGAATGAAAATGTCATGTGCTTTGAACTATGAAGCTTTGAAGTTTTAAAGTATTAAGTATATTGATTTTTCACGTTGTTCACAGTCACATTTCACACTCTGTTCATTACCTCTCTCTCACATGAACTATAAGTTATCTACCCAATAAGTCTCTCTCCTGCCTTTATTGTTTTGTTTCCATGTTTGTTCGATTGTTTGCATTTTTGCTTAGTTGTTGGGAAGCTCACTGGGTAGAACATATAGTCATATGTATGAAGTGATCCCAGGAACATGACAAATCAAAAGTGGTTAAATGACTGAAGAAAATGACTTCCCCTGCTGCTATCCAATGCCAACGACTCCCTACAGATGAGCTTTGTCTTACAACACCCTCTCTCCTGTGTGACTGAATGTTGATGTGACCAGTCTTGTGCAGGCTATTGTTCATGCAAACCTAAGTCCATTTCTCCACATGAAAAGAAAAGAAAGGCCTAGCTGAGACTTCACATTCATTCAAGTCAGTTGAGTTCTTACAAACCTCAGGTAAGGGACTGATAAAGCACTTGTTCTCGGAGACAGGCCTTTTTATATACAACAACCTTCACATTTAGATTTCAAATGGCTGCTCTTTCACCAACAACAACTATTTCTGGAAACCTGGTAAACTAATACTGCCCCTGACACTCAACTAGGCTTACCTGTTAGAGCACTTGAATGTCAGCTTTGAAAGTGTGAGGTTCTCCTCAGAGACTGACTGTCCATGATATTTTTATACTGGAAAGTCCTCAAACATAATGTAGGATTGATAGTTTAGTACTGCTTCTCTTAGAACTTTTAATGGTGAAGCTTTATTATTTGAATTTGTTGTTCTTTGTATGATGTGTTCGATTCATAGACAAAAATTGGCCATGTTGTTTTAACTTTTCAAGTTGATTGAAATTTTTATACTTGGCCATGCTGCGTATTAGCTACCAAGCTTCAATATACAAAAGAAGATTGTGAACTCTGATTTAATGTCTACTTTAAATTGTAGCTTCATGTGCATTTTTAAATTCTTAACATAGATATTCATATGTTATACTATGACAGAAAATAAATTGGGAAAATAAACATTAAAGATTTCAAATCTGCTAACAGTAGCTTTCTTCAAATAACTATGAAGCAATGTGTATTTTATCAGTAAGACTATCCTCCATAGAAGATATTTCTCATTCTAAAACATAGCTCAGATTTTTACAAAATGCAAACATCATTTGCCTTTTATATAAATACAACTCAGCCTTACAATTTTCTAGTGAAATAACAGCAGGTTAATCTATAGCACCATTTATATTAAAACTCTGTAATTTTCCTGTCTTCTTTCAGGGCATGAACTACATATATCAATTGTCTCACATGAAAAGATAGCATTATCTGTTCCAGTACAGATTCTCTGTTGCGTAGAATAAATTCCTTTTTTTTTGTTGTTAAAATTCTACACCAAAGGGATTGTAATTCTTTGGCTCTTAGTATTTTTTTTCTTAGTATTTTTGGTTTTTCGAGACAGGGTTTCTCTGTGTAGCCCTGGCTGTCCTGGAACTCACTCTGTAGACCAGGCTAGCCTCAAACTCTCGAACTCAGAAATCTGCCTGCCTCTGCCTCTCAAGTGCTGGGATTAAAGGCGTGCACCACCCCCCGCCCGGTGGCTCTTAGTTTTTATGTTTAATTATTTTTATTGCTAATGTAAGATTATCTGTCATATTTTATTCTTACCAGAACAAATACCCAAAATTAGTTTGTTGGAAATAAATACCTCTTTCTTTGGATTCAATGTTACAGAACCTTCAGACCAGTTCTGTTCTTCTATCCCACATTATCCTCTATTACTGACATGACCTAGGAGAGCTGTCAATCATGCACTAGATGAAAAGCTAAAAGGTAGTCAGTGGCTGCTGAGGTAGAACCAGTGTCCTTCAGTGTAGAGATCCTGCTGATGTTATTCACTTTCATGTTTTCAGCCCTGAACACATGTTCATAGAATCAATGCTAGAGGGACTCAATAAACTGTATATTCATTGAAGAAAGGAGAGGTGATGAATTTGGGAGGGAGGACACTAGTAAATTTCAAGGGACTGGAATGAGGTAGAAGCTCTTATGTGTAGCTATCAAAACTATTGTAAAGCAACAACAAAAGAAACAGACCAAAGCACTTGACAAATATGAAGATTTTTATAAATATAAAACTTGCAAAACAAATTACAGAACATATTTTAAAATTATACATCATGATCCAGTAGATTTTATTCCAAAGAAGCAAGGATGTATTACATGTCAGAACTAATGGATGTAATAAAGCTGTCGTAGTCAGTGTTAATAGTCTACTTGACACTCTGGAAAGTCTAAGACTGCCGGTGTGGGATTATCTTAACTTCATTAATGTTGGAAGACTTGTTTTGATTATGGGCTGGACTGTCCATGGACATGGGATCCTGGACTGCATTAAATGGAGAAAGTAAGCTGAGCAGAACCTACCTGCTTTTGTACTTTCCACTTTTCTCTTAGTGGATTTGTTATATCCCATGTTGTAAAGATTTTTTTTCAATTAAAAAATGCATGTACTTTAAACAAATTTTTAAAAGTAGAGCTGGACACATTAAAGGTTTTAAAGAGTTAATTCAATCTGATAGAAAGAATTACCCAGGTTCACTCTCATGGTCTTCTCTACATTTGAGTAAGAAAACACAAGATACCAAAAGTAGACATTTGTACTCAAACACAGAAGTATGTACCAACATACACACACACACACACACACAGAGAGAGAGAGAGAGAGAGAGAGAAAGAGAGAGAGAGAGAGAGAGAGAGAGAGAGAGAGAGAGAGAGAGAGA